TGTTTATATTACGTTTTACGCCCGAACTTGTTATCTTGCTCACTTTATCAGTGGGAGTGCGAGTGGGAGCGAGTCAGATAGATAGATAGGTGTTGATTATCTCTAGGCCAAAAAAAAAAAACAAAAAATACAGAGAGCAAGCGAAAACGCGCAAAACGATAATAATGAAAATAATAATATTAACATTTAATGTGAAAAGAGGCGATTTCTTGGAAGTTCGCACACACACACACACACACAGCGAAAAAGGCTCTCCATGATATATCCGTCACTCACACACTGTTGGAAAAATTCCTGGAAAATATGCACACGGTACACTCATGTCATGGAGTGTGAGTTCCATTGAGTGTGTGTGTGTGTGTGTGTGTGCGGTTTTCTGATTAAGCGAAAGCACTAACACAAAATTCAACTTAATTCGCTCCCGGCCCGGCCCGAACCATGGCCAGGTAAGTCCCGAATGCTTTTTCTTTTCTAGGGATTGAAAAATAAAAAATAATGGTTTACCCAAATATTTATCTACGCTTGAGAACTGAGAAAAATGTTGGGATATTTTTTACGCTTTTCTTTTTAATAGTTTAAGTTAATTCAAGAATTTTTTAAAATTCAATTCAATTTCAATTAATTAATATCCTTGAAGGGTATTATAATTTCAGTCTAAAGCTTGTAACGTAAAAACTAGTCATTTTCGATCCCATAAATCATATTTATGTATTCTTGATCAGCATCAACAGCCTTATCGATCTAGACATGCTCAGTTAAAATTTAATTTTTTTCAAAATTTTAAAAATTTTATAAGGGTTAACATTTTCAAAAATTGAAAAAAAAAAATAAATATTTAAAATTTTTAAATGGAGTATGCAGATTTATTAACCTAATAAATAAATTAAAATTATAGCCTTTTTTGGCTTAGTAATGATATTTTAAACTTTGATAAGTCGAAAAATTTATCAGTTCATGGGTATATTTTAAAATTAGTTATGCTCGATTTCCGATACGATCCTATAGATCAATTGCAAAATATGCTCTCGAATTTAAAAGGAATTCCTTCAAGGCTCTTTTCTATGTTCTAAATATAGTACAATTTATAAACCTACTTCAGATACAACATTTTTATGAGTGTAGATATACTTTCGGTTGGGTTCGGTTATGTTGTGGTTCCTTTTGTTTGCCCTAAGCTGAAATTATGGCCCTGAGAGCTCACAGAACTTTTGTAATCGTGAATATGTATGAAATAACAGAACCATATGAGATTTGTTTTTGGTCAGGTCTTTGTGATGATATGATAATCGTATTATCTAGAGAGATGGCTGCCAGAGTGATAAGGTCATTCACGGGTAAGGTTTTTGAACTTATCTTAGACTTGATTCACAAGTAGCATTTAAGGGGAATGATAAATATGATCAAATATGAAATTAAAGATATTTTTAGTAGTAATATTCACTCTTTCTTGACACAAATTGAGGTAGGTAAACCATAAATTTCACTTTAACTTTTCACATTCTTTGTGTTTACCTGCTTTTAATAGTGAGCTTGATTCTTAACTGAACAAGTTGGCCAACAAGCTGGGGTTTTATTTACCGATACGGTAAATGTGATTGATTAAATTGTTTTAAATTTAGCGATTACCAAATCAGAAAACCAAGTGCTTTGGCGATCTTAGCGAATACGTATTGTGGCGTCGATAGAGAGCCAAAGAGAGAGAGAGATTATACAAGCCCCTATAAATATATAGAAAATTCATTGATAAATTACTACGAACCACAAAATCAACACACGCGCACACCCACCACCCTCTCTCTCACTCTCTCACACCCACACACACAGACACACCATCCCGACTGGCTTATCTAGAGAAACGTTTGCAAAGTTGAAACGAAATGAAATTCTAAGAACAATCAAAAGCATTTCGTTCGCTTTTCCAGGGAAAAGCAAATATGTATGTATGGGAGATACGGTAAGCGTGCTGAGAATGGGGTTGGGGATTTGAAGGGGGCCTCAGATAAGAGCAGGAGCTAAGGTCAAGAGATATTATTATTATTATTCTACTTATTATTAAAATTACTTATAAGCAAACATTTCTTTGGATTTCACATTTTTTCTGTTGTCAGATTTCGAAACGCGGTCACAAATAAACGACATTTACATAAGCCAGACTTGAACTGGTTTTCGGTTAAGGTTGTTTTTTGTCATAAACAATACATGGGATATACAAACATATTTTCGGAAAGATACATTTTCAATGGCTTCTCAGTTTTTCCTTTGAAAACTATTTGATTTGTCCATTGTTTCCGGGGAGTACTTGACCATTTTTCTCAGGAACTCAAGCGTAAAAGGTAATTGTGTATGGATTTTTGCCAAGCTATACGTTTTTTACGTTTTATATAGAGTCGAAATATTAAACATAAGAATACCACTGGAAAAACCTGATTTACTTGGATTAATTTCAAAACTAATTAAAATGATTATGATTATTTATACATTTCAAACGGAAATTGCTTCAAGTATCGACTATATGAAATTATATCGCATTCTCCATAATGCATTTTCATTGGAAATGCAGTTAAGTTCTGACCTAACTGGCATGTGAATAACCTTGCGAAAACTATACGTAACATCATGGCAATTAACTTCTGTGTAAAAAATAACAATAACAATAAGATTAGATAGAAATTCTGGGGAATCCGCGCTGACAAGTGTAACTTGTGGCAGCACTTTTATGGCTGTAATAACTGTAAGTACACAGAAATATGTGTTTGTGTTTTTCCGTTAATTGCAATTCCGAATAAAACATCTTAGTTTGACCCGTTCTCTTTCACTCTCCCACTCTTACACACACACACACACTCACACAATTGAGTGTTTTGCCCACATTTCACTTTTGGCATTGCGTTTCAATTGAACAAATTCACGCGAACAATTAACAATAAACGAACAAAATCAAATTTCCAGCGAAAAATCTCAACAGAAAAACAAAAAAAGAAAGAAAACAAAACAACAATGGGATGAAAGAGCAGCAGACGGTTGTGGAGGAGGGGTTTTAGGGGTCGGGGGGTGGCAGCTGTAGTAGAAGAAGCAGAGCAATAGCCAATGGCCTACCTATGCACGTGTGTATGTATGTGTGTATAATCATACATATGTATGTATGTGTAAGACTCTCTCACAGCGGACGCATTGTTGCTGGGCAGACAATTTGGCATTTTGGCAAGATCGGACGCTCGCTCGCTCTGCAAACAGCTGCCAATTAAGCGGCGTCTCTCTTACCTCCCGCTCTTATTTACCTCTCTGTTCATAACACACACTCACACTGCACTTATCCTGTTCGAAACAGTTTCATGTGAAAAGCTATTAAAGAAAAAAAATTGAAAACGCTCTCAAGTTTTATACGAAAATTCAAGGAAATGAGCGGAAGAAGATGGTAAAAGCGGGTTTTACCCAGAATAATCAAAAAAAAAAAAGTGCACACACATACAATACATACATACACACACCAGAAAGGAACGCAGACAAGCGGCAACAACAATTTGACGCATTACAAACGAAGTTAATAACACCTTTTCTTATGAAGGGTACAACAACACCGATGTTCCAATATACCCCGCTCACCTCTGCTACCCAGTTGTTGTTGTACGGCTTCGGTCGAATTTAGCGGCTACACCTTTATACACCTTTAGCAAGAAGCCACGGCCAGCAGAGGCCCAACTAGCAGCAACCGGGTCTCTGCACTAGTATTGGTTTTGGTATGAGCGGGAGAGAGAGAGCGAGAGAGACAGCTCTGCCAGTACAGTGAACACTGGACGATGATGAAAGTAAGCAAAGTATTTCAATAATGTTAAATTTAACATATCAAAATAAAAGCACTGGAAATGAGCTTTGAAATTGCTATTACTATTTAAAAGATATATTTTAAGTTATATAGTTTCTTAAATTATTTAGTTTAATTTTTAAAAATGTATTTAAAATTAAGTAGAACAAATACAGAAAGTTTTCTAATAAGATTTAATTTAAAAAGTTAAATAAAGAGAAGTTGTAAATCCATAACACGGATAAGCAATAATGATCATAGTATCAGAAATTCTAGATAAACAATAGTGTATTTTATGTCATATAGGTTCTTAAATTATTTAGTTTAATTTTTAAAAATGTATATAAAATGAAGTAAAACAAATACAGAAAGTTTTGGCAAAAGATTTAATTTAAAAAGTTAAATAAAAGAGCAGTTGTAAACGCGTAACACAGATAAGCAATAATAATCACAGTATCAGAATAGTGTTTTTTGCGCGTGGGAAACTGCATAATGGAATGTTTAGTCGATCCCCCTTAGCGAGTGTCCACTGTATCCGCATCTGCTCCGAATCTGCTAAAGCTGTATCTGTATCTGTATCTGTATCTGTGTGCGGGCCAGCTTCAGCTTCAGCTTGGCTTGCGGTGTTAAATGTTTGCAGCAAAAGCAGCAGCAGCAGCATTTTTCATTCAATAGCAACGGGCAACAACTACAGTGAGGCAGCTGCCAACATCATCAGCACTCGCACACACACAAACACACACAGGCACTCATACACGCGCGCTTGTATCTTTGTATCTGCTGGTGCTGCTGCTGCTGGCTCGCTTGGGCTGTCTGTCACTTCTCAGAAATCGGTCTAAATTAGAAAATGCGTTTCTGGGAATTTCGTATCGCTCTTTCGGGCCCACAGAGCGGCGTACATACACACACCAAGCGAGTGGCGGCGCTACATAAATTTGTAAATATATATTACTATGGATATACATATTTATATGGACGATTCCCCCCGCAATTCCCAGAATGAATTTCCAATGAATCAATGGAATTTGCACGACAATATTGTTTTACCTCCCAAAATACACACACACACACAGCCAACAGGCAAGTGCAAATAAAAGCAAACGACAGCCGTAATGGGATGTGGTTGCTCTGCTTCCCTTTTAATTTAAGCAAACACTGACATAAATATTTTATTCGTATTTATTCATTTTGTATTTACCTTTGATTTTCAATTCGATTTGCTGCTGTTGGCTATTTTCACTTGGTACACTTTTACGCTAGTTGGCACTTCGTGCAAACTGTGTTTTAAGCATATTTCATTCCTTTAGTTTGCGAGTATCTTCTTGATGAATATTTCTCTTCAATTTAACTTAAATTTTATTTTTGTTGTTGCCGTTGTTGCTGCTGAGACACACACAGGCACACGCACACATACACAGCAAACAGAGAAACACTGCACCGTACAGATACGCGCACGCTCGCTAATTGCACTTTTCGATATCAGGAAAGCTGGCGGCTGTGATTGCACTCGACGACCTCAACAACTGTGTGCGCGATTCCGTCAATTTGTGCAATTTCTCTCTCTCGACAACGAAGCCACACACGCACGAAGAAGTTAATATCTTCTCCGAAATGTATCTGAGTATCTTTTTTTCACGTCCGTATCGGTCCGAACCATTAGTGTGACTGCCACTCGGATATACAAATAAGCAAAGGATTGGTGAAATGTACTAAATATGCCAAGTGCCACGAAAAAAAACTAGATTGTGGCACAGAGGTGGGGAACTTTGGTGGTATTTTAGCAATGACCTCAACCTTTTTACCTGGAATATACCAATATACTAGAATTTTGTGGCAAGTGAATGTATCAGAAAGTTAACCGTTATTTGCATTTTACTTTTTAAAATTTGCTTTGATAAAGAATATTTAAAGTATTGAAGCGTATCAGAAAAAAAGGGTAAATTATATAGATAGAATTTATAACTTTATATTTCATTGCTAATGTGATTTTTGTGTACGGGCTCTCTTAAAAGTCCGCCAAAATTCAAAACTCAGTCGGATATCTGAACTAAGAACAATTATACATTTCGCAAACAGACGCAATCAAGATCGTTGGGCTAATATTTGATCATTTGCAAAATAAATACACTGATAACAGCCTAAATTATACAATAAATAAACGGGGGCACATTTTGAAGAACTAATCTCAGCGGGCGACTGTCATGCGACTGGTCCGCTGTCCAGATAATAAATAAATCCAAATGCATATCTTTCAAAGGCCAGATAGTCCCGTCTCCACAGATCCGACTTAGTCAGTGTCAAGCGGTCAGGCAATAAAGACGAGCTCGAGATCGCCTCTCTTTCTCTATCTCCACTGCAGCGTAATTCAATTAAAATTAAAACGCAAATCTACGCAAGAGACCCGGAGTGAAATTGCCCCAAATTCAACGACAATTATAGGTCGCGCGCACGTCAGTAATCTCAGCATCTGCGTGGGCCCCACTCACACTGTATCCCAAGTTCCGGCCATGCAATCGGATCCATCTTCGCTTGGCGCGGAATCCATTCCCATGCACCGCTCCACATCAATGCCCGTGAAGCCCAAGCCGCTGGAGCAGAAGCCGCTGTTGCGATCCTCCGAGAAGGAGACGGTCAATGCGGCGGACTATTATCCAGAGAGTCCTGGCTTCGTGCGTCGCAGGAAATCCAAGACGACGGGAGATCAGCTGGAGACGCGCAGTGAGCAAAAGTAAGTCAAGTTCTATAAATAAGAATACCTTTTATTAGGAAAACTGATAAAAACAAGACTAACATTTCAAGGTCTTTATAGAAGTAATTAATTAAGACCAGTAAATAAATAGCCAAGGTTAAAAGTAAATTAACGTTTATATAGTACTTAGTCTAGGCAAAAATATAGTTATTTAAGCTAAACAAGAAAGGAAACTAATTTTGGGTAGTTGTACTTTATATACCCTTGCAGTTTGATATTGAATTAGAGCATCGAATCGAAATATGATCGTAACTAAGCTTATAATATTCGCATTCTTTGAATTGTTTTTTTTATTAATATATTTAAATTATAAAAAAACTCATAACTAAAACAAAAATGCATTATTATTAATTCGGAAATCTGTTCTATGTTAGTATTTATTAGCTTAATTTGTGAAATTTTTTAACAATGTATCATTTTCTAAAAAAAAATAGGAAAAAAATTGGAAAATTTATTTTTTAGCCGGACATGGCTAGATCGACTCGTTTTTTATGCTGATCAAGAATATATATGATTTATAGGGTCGGAAATGATTCCTTTGATGCGTTTCAAGCATTTAAGTAAAATTATGATACCCTGCATGGGTATAAAAATGCAAGTTTAAATAGTTTTTAATTATTGTTAATCTTATACTCCCCAGTTTTCCCTGCACCAATGACTGGGCAGGCAGTACCATCGAATTGACACCAGAGCCGGGAACATCTTCCTCCGATATCCTGCGACGCAGCCTGCATCGGGTGATGGAGAAGAATGGCAAGGAGAACGTTGTGTTTCGCCGCATACCAGAAAAGTCCTGGCGTTATATGCGGGATCTGGTCACTACGCTGGTAAGATCCTGGTTTGGCCACAAGAAACCTTCATCGTCTAGCAACGATCCGTCGCGATCGGATGTGTATAGCATAACGCCCAGCATACAGCGTAAACTGGATGAGTTGGCCCACGAGCCGCCGCATCTGAGTCCCCATCTCGCCTCGAAGACTGATACCAGCCAAAGCGAGCGGGTTACATTTAGCATTTAACCTCTAATCCACTAATCGACGAGCCCATGACACACTGAAATACTCATACATATATTAATAAATACGAAATTAACCAATTAAATCACTTGCATTGCTAAACTGGGAAATCCTGGGATCATTAGTGAGAAATGCTTAACCGGAGCTTCCCCCCTTTCGACTTGCGCAGATGGAGCTGAATTGGAAATACATGCTGACCATATTCCTGGGCAGCTATTTTATCTGCTGGCTGCTCTTCGCCGCCCTTTGCTATGTGGTTTCCTACTCGCACGGCGACTTCATCTTTGATCCCATCAGTGGTGCAAGAATGGGCGAGGGCGTGGATCCATGCATCTATGGGGTAGGTAACTGGGTGGCCATGATCATCTATTCGGTGGAGACACAGACCACTCTGGGTTTCGGCGAGAAGTATGCCAGCGAGGAGTGTCCGGAAACGGTGTTCCTGTTCGTTATGCAAATGGTAAGCGCCGCTCTGATCGAGGGAATTATGGTGAGCGTGATCTATGCCAAGACGGCTCGTCCGGCCAAGCAGATGACCAAGTTAAAGTTCAGTGACAAGGCGGTGGTAAGTAGAAATGCCTCCGATTAGGAAGATCGGATTCGATGCTCCAACTTGTGATTATCTCCCTTGCAGATCTGTTATCGCGACGGCCAGCTGTGTTTGCTTTTCCGCGTGTGCGATCCCCGCGAGCAGCAGACCATCGAGTCCAAGATACGCGTCTACATGATCATAGACAAGCGGTGAGTCACTGTCTCACTTTTGGGGATGTCTTTTCTTTTCAGTTATCTTGGTAAATAAAGATTATGTCCGGGAGACCTATAAATATTTAATATTTAACTTAAGATACAGTGATAAATATGCTCAAAGCTTTTAACTTACCTATTTATGATTCGTTTAACTTCCTGGAAAACCTTAATTTATGTTTGGTATTCAGTAAATATTATTATTAATATTATAAGTACTAGATTCCATTAGCAACTCTTACTATATCAGTTTTATCTTAAAAACCATCTTATCTTTGCAGCACGCGCGAGGGTGAGGTCATAAAAACTCACACGGAACTGAAGCTGGAGGGGAATGGCGAGCAGCTGATCGTCTGGCCCGATGTCGTCTGCCATGTCATCGACGAGACGAGTCCCCTGTATCAGTTCAGCAATGCCAAACTCTTTAATGCCGCCCAGTTTGAGCTGTATGTGTCCATTGTGGGCACATCACCGGCCACTGCCCAAATGACCGAGGCCAAGACATCGTATCTGCCCAGAGAGATATTCTGGGGACAGCGGTTCGTCAACATTATCCACTATGATGCCCAGAACGAGAGGTATTTGGTGGACTATGAGAACTTCAATAGAACCATTTCAGTGGATATGCCCATTAGGCTGGCGGCCACAAACGATCAGCTAAAGTTGGAGTACAGGAAGTAAAGGCTACTAACTACTTTACCAGAAATCCGAAAAAGATATAATAGATATCCTTAATTTAACGTTGAATACGGTTTCGATGTATCAAAGTTTCAAATAATTTCGATATGGTATTAGCGCAATAATAGGAACGATTAAATGTATAACAATTTCTTTCTATTATTATTTAAAGTAATCATATAAAATTTATTAAAATCAAAACTTTCTATCTCCTCTTCTGGGTTAAACCTTTCTTTCTCTAACAGTCTTTACAAGAATCTCATTCTTTTAACGATTGGCAAATAACAAACAGTTTAATAAATTAAGGACAAATAAATAAAACTTAGCTCATTGTCCTGCGGATTCGGTTTCCTCCTTCTTTTTGTAAAAGTCCAACTTTGCTCTCAGCTGTGCATTTTCCCGTTGTAGGTGATGAAACTCGCGGACAAAGTCATCGGCTCGCAGGAGATGGGCCAAACCGTCGCGTATATCCTGCGTATTCTGCAGCTGTTGCTTCGAATAGTTGGCCAAATGGTTGACCATCTGCCGATGGTTCCAGTTTGCTATATATTCCAATTCGCGTTCCACATAGCCGCAGCGTTCGTCGACAAATTCCTTTAGTTCGCTTATCTCCTTGCGCCAATCGACGCCATCCATTTGCACAGAGGATAGACCGCTGGAAGATTTGGCCAGCAGCTGTTGTGGCTTCAAGTCGGTATTCGAGGACTGTGGAGTGACATTGGCATGATGCGGTGTGCTATTACGGCTAGAGGAGAGCAGGCGCAGCCTTTGTTGCATATCCGCGTCCACTGGAAGCGGAGGATTCTCCTTGTCGCTGCCAGTGCCTGGGCTGCTGGTCACGGAAACATGAGATGACTGATCCTCGCCATGCTCATCGGTCTCGGCAATCTTCATAAGCTTCACCTCGCCGGAGTGGTTGCTGCGATCCTTAAGGGGACCGCTTAAGGTCTCTGCAAGAGAATAAAGTTCACAAAAGTTACGATATAGAATTAATCTCCACATACGCTGCAGTGACTCCGCTGTAGTGTTGTTGCACGAGCTCTCGACCGAGCTGGGCACAGATCCTCCTCCTCCTCCTGCACTCATACTCTGATGCTGGGCAGTTTCATTGGGATTGGACCTGCGGTTGAGGGTCTCCCAGTCGAAGCTGTCCCTGTGAGAGGTGCTGAACCGTGTGGACATGCGATCCACTGCCCTCGGACCCTGGGCATCCAGGAAGTCACAGAACGAATCCCGTCGCGGTCCGGTATTAACCGGCGTAACCATGCCATAGCCCATGCTTGCCATGTTGTTCAGCTGCTGCTGCGTGGTCAGCAGATTTGCCGCAATGGATTTGCGAAGCTCATCACTGGGGGCACGCTCTACGCGAGGAGTATCCTGCGCCAGGGCACTAAGACCTCCTGAGTTATTTAGACCACCGATTTGCGGATTATCCTCGCTGGATAGAGGAACAAAAGCCACACGGGTCACAGCGCCATCGTGAACCTTTTTCACGGCCAACGGCGCCTTGGTGCTCCTCATATCGTAGGCAATTAGCTCACCCTTGAGATTGCCGGCACAGAAGTAAGTGCCGCACTCACTGAGCGCCACCGTGGACAGGGGATGGGAGTAGCTTAGGCGATCTGTCGAAGCCTGCGCTCTATTTCGTCGTATATCGAAGATATTGATCTTGCAATCGTAGCCCACACTGACCAGCAGCGCAGGCTGGGATGAGCACATGCTGATGTCTCGGCAGGGAGCGCTGTGCGCCTCGCTGGCATGGAAGATTTTCCGCTTGCCCTGGACATCGTACACGGTTACGGCTCCCTTGTACGAAGCAATCGAGAGCTGGAAGCGCTTGCTGGGATGGAAGCGTACCAGGGTGGAGCTGCAATGACCAGATTAGTTTGTGTCCTAGTAACATACGATCACGCACTTACTCGCCATCGATGGTGAAGGTGTTCATCTTGAGCTTGGTCTTGGTGCCGAGGATATTGATGCTGCCGCCCTCGCGCACAGCGGCTATATACTCATCCGTGCTGTTGTAGTCCATGTAGAGAACAGTGCTGCGCTGCGGATCCGCAGGAAACCTATGGATCAGCTGTGCTGTCCGTATGTTGTAGATCTTAATGCTGCCGCTCTGGCCTACGGCAATCTCTTCGAGCGTTTGCTTGGCGCAGGCCACACAGTAGGCATTGTCAATGGTGAGCTTGCGGACTCGCTGAATCTCGGGACCTGCTGTTGAATTATATAGAATTATTGTCAATTCATTACTAGCTTTCCTAATCCCAACTTACTCTTCTCCTCGTTCTCCTTTATCCGCATCACCGCCAAGCCCGCCATTTTATCCACCTCGACAAAAACGCGTCCCTGGCCATTGAACTGAAAGTCCCTCGGTTCACCACCAGCATGTGCATATTCGGACTTTGTCTCGAGGTCCGCAAAGTCAGAGAGCACAGTTTTCTTGGAAGTGGAAATCAAATGCATTTTGATTTATTCAAGAATTTTGAATTTGAAATGACAGTCAGTGTCTGATGATAGATTTGGTGCAGTGTGCCCGCAGCTTTTTTCGATAAAATACCAAAATCAATCGACGATAAAGCGATTAAGAGGTTTCCACTTTTTTCTAGCCGGAATTTGCTCTGCTGTTAATTAACGTTTTTATAAATATTTTCCAAAAAGATTATGGGACTTAACCATACTCTAGATTATAAAGTTCTCCGATAATATGTTTAAGAACGGGGCAGAGCTAATATTTTAGTCGTGAAATATGAAAATATTAAATATACAATTACACGTTGAAAACTCTGTCAATTTCAACAATGTAATTCCTATATTTGTAAATATTTCTCGCTTTAAAAATTTCCAATTTAAATCCGCAAAGGTTTTCGAAAAATAAAGGAAAAGTAGACTGTTCGTGGTATTTAAGCAGATACATTTGGTGCCGCTTTGGAATCAGTGTGAACGCGACGGCGAGTTTTGCCATTCACAACGAAATCGATTCCGATAACTTTTAGTGGCAAAAAACAAGAAGCAGAGCAGCGACCAATCACCTGCAAAAAAGAAATAAATTGCCGAGAAATGATAAAAAATATATAGTCCGCCTGTTTTGGAGTGCGTTGAAATGAGTCTGGATCTTTAGCATTTAGTGACCACGCAACTTATTCCCCCAATTTCCCACGCTGTGACGGGCAGGAGAGCCACTGGACAAAGGCCAGCTACAACAGTCGTACACACACACACACACACACACACACACACACACACACACAGACACACATTCACACACCCTCGTACGGCGTAGAAAGCAACAACAAATACGACGAACGGAGGCCAACATCACCTGCTGGAAAAATGGAGGCGGATGGACTAACAAACGACCAAACGGAGAAGGTGCTCCAGTTCCAGGATCTTACCGGCATCGAGGATATGAACGTGTGCCGCGACGTCCTTATCAGACATCAATGGGATCTCGAGGTACGGGCGGCAAACATATGTATGCACACGACACAGTCACGGCAGTGAGCGTAGAATGCACTTACAGTGGCGGTCCGTCTAAGAGGTCATGCCGCGCCACTTCTGGGAAAATAATCCATTTAATTATCTTTGTTGATTTGAATTAGTAATTAAATATTTTTCTTGCCTACCCCTCGCAGGTGGCCTTCCAGGAGCAACTAAATATCCGCGAAGGCCGACCCACTATGTTCGCCGCCTCCACGGACGTGCGAGCGCCCGCTGTGATCAATGACCGCTTCCTGCAGCAGGTGTTCTCCGCCAACATGCCCGGCGGACGGACAGTGAGCAGGGTGCCCAGTGGCCCCATACCCCGCAGCTTCACCGGAATCCTGGGCTACGTGATCAATTTCGTGTTCCAGTACTTCTACTCTACGCTGACGAGCATTGTAAGCGCATTTGTAAACTTGGGCGGTGGCAATGAGCCGCGATTGGTCACGGATCCGCTTGGGGACGTGATGAAGTTCATCAGGGACTACTACGAGCGCTATCCTGAGCATCCGGTCTTCTACCAGGGCACCTATGCCCAGGCTCTGAACGATGCCAAGCAGGAGCTGCGCTTCCTCATCGTCTATCTGCACAAGGATCCCGCCAAGAACCCCGACGTGGACTCATTCTGCCGCAACACACTCTCCTCCCGCTCAGTCATTGACTATATCAACACAAACACCCTGCTGTGGGGCTGCGATGTGGCCACGCCAGAGGGCTACCGGGTGATGCAGTCGATTACGGTAAGGAGCTACCCGCTGATGGTGATGATCAGCCTACGGGCGAATCGAATGATGATCGTGGGACGTTTCGAGGGAGATTGTACGCCGGAGGAGCTGCTGCGTCGCTTCCAATCGGTGACGGCTGCCAATGAAGTGTGGCTGAGTCAAGCACGTGCGGATCGTTTGGAGCGCAACTTCACACAGACACTGAGGCGGCAGCAGGACGAGGCCTACGAGCAGAGTTTGCTGGCGGACGAGGAGAAGGAGCGTCAGCGACAGAGAGAACGGGATGCAGTGCGACAGGCGGAGGAGGCTGAGGAGCAAGCGCGACGTGATGTGGAGCTGAGAAAAGAGGAAATTGCTCGGCTAAAGATCGAGCTAGCGACGCTAGTGCCATCGGAGCCGCCAGTGGATACTGTGGGCGCTATTGCCGTCGTGTTTAAGCTGCCCAGTGGTACGCGACTCGAACGGCGTTTCAATCAGACGGATTCGGTGCAGGTAAGTTGCTTATCAAGTAACGAGTCACTATTTAAATATATTCACATCTACTCTTTCCCTCCCAAAGGACGTTTATCACTATCTCTTCTGCCATCCCGATTCGCCGGATGAATTCGAGATCACAACGAATTTCCCGAAAAGGGTGCTTTACTCGAAGGCTGACGTGGACACCGCCGAGGGCGCCGCCAACGATGCGCTGAACAAGACCCTCCATGACGTGGGCCTCAAGAACCGCGAGGTGCTGTTCGTCAACGATCTGGAAGCGTAACCAAGCTAGCACCACCTACCAAATGTTAGATTCAAGCATCGTGTTACCAGCTGCAACGCATTACCAAAACTTGAACCAAGTTTTAAGTAGTCGTAGTCCAACAACGTCCAAGTCGGAGGATAAACAAAATGAAACTATTCCTAATTTAATCATGAATATTAATATATAAATAATTGTTTAACAATGCTTAGGTTGATTCTCTCTTGTAATCTATGACCCCTGACCTCTGCCACCACCCACCCGATGCTCCTGCTAAGTAAAAATTCTTTCCAGATTTAGTTCTTTCCGTTTCCCTTCACAATTAAGCAATTTTGTTATGTTAGCTGTACTTATACTTCCGTCTATTTAATCAAAATAGAGCCAGAGTCTTATTGTTTTATAAAGAGTTTGAATATATAATATGAATGTGGTCGAGAATTGAATAAATTGAAGTTATGAATATTCATTTGTAAGCAACGGCGCTATAACATTAAGTACTAACTATTAGTAGTTTGTTTTAAATGTCTTTAGCCATATGGATTATTTTTGGGAAAACAAACAAAAATATACAAAACTGACTTATTATTATTATATCAAAAAATTAATTAATTAAAATTAATAGTTATTTTCGGAAACAATGCGACAGTTTTACCAGTGGCTTTTTTTAAGAAAACGTTGTCCTTTTTAACAGAACACTAACAATTAGGTCGCTGTATATTAAAAATAATTACCAATTTGTGTTAAAAATTAAAAGAGGATTACTTTTTTATTTAAATGTTTAAATCACAGAAGACTGTAATATTCAGTGCAATAAAATAATAAATATGAGATCCATGTAAATTTTTTTAAAAACTCTTTAAAGATTGCTTAAAATAACAGGCCTTATGTTAATTATAAATTATTTTAAATAGTTAAAATATTATTAAAAGAAACACTGAAAATTACTTTTGTCGATTTCGAATGAATTAATTAGAACATTAGAAGGGCTTCGGCATTGAAGTTGAAAGTAGCAGGCTTTATGTTAATTATAAATAAATTAAAATAGTTAAAATATTATTAAAAGAAACACTAAAAATTACTTTTGCAGGTTTCGCATGAATTTACTAGAACATTTGAAGGGTTTCAGCATTGAAGTTGAACCGATTTTAAGTGTGAAGAAATACGCACTCTTCAAGAACAGAATTAATAGGAAATGTATTTTTTGTTAATATTTGAGTAATTTTAGTATAGTTTTCATAAATTATTTAAAATTTCGGTGATTTTTAAATTTTAGATGCTATAGCCAATGCTGTTGTAGTGGAAACATTTTATCTTTTAGCATCGATATATCGTTGCCGCGGTCCGCTCACTAAGTAAAAACTGTTCAGCTGGTCACACTGTTTCGCTGACTAACATTGAGTTCGTGTAAAGAAAAAGAAATATATATAAATTTACGCTGGAATTTCTGGGATCGGAGGAGTTTAGTGACCACGAAGACACCACGACTGGATTACCACTGACGAGCGACACGTCTGCTACCACGAAAGAGCGGGAAATCGGAAAACTCGGGCCTGCGGCCAAGATACGCCAGTTGACTTCTAATCTGTTTAACTCGGAGGAGATCCGGAACGTCGCACGCGGCATACGTCAACCCAGCTACCAGAAACTGTTCCCGGTGGAGAGGCAACCGAAGAGCACCCAGAAGAACGCAAAGACCATGTCGGCGGCACCCTCGACATCCTCTGTGGGCGATGCTGCGGCCGCCCTATCCGGCAATCTTCAGCTGCCCCCGCTCCGCTCGCTCGATGACTTCATCTTGGGATCGGCCCGTTTCCAGCTGCCCAATCTTAAGGACTTCGAGAAGTGGGGTAACGGGTGGTGAAGAATCTGTTGTACTATCAAAACCAACTACTTTCTGCTCTTCCTCACCATTTACGTCGTGATGGTAATCTTCAACCCAGCCAAGATCGTCAGCGGTCTGCTGGTGCAGGCTCTGGTCATAGCCGTGATCTGGCAGTTCTTCAGTGGCAAGTCAAAGTCCAACTTTATTGCCAGCCGGTTGACGGGCGGAATGCCAACGCTGCGGAGCAGAATGCCCAGCAAAAGTGGTACATCCTGGCCGGTGCTCTGCTTGGCGGCTACCTTTTCCTGCATCTGATCAGCGCTGTCCTGCTAACGGCCTTCACCCTGCTGCTGCCCATTTCGGTGACCTTCATTCACGCCTCACTGCGCCTGCGCAACATTAAGAACAAGCTGGCCAACTCCATTGAAAGCTTTGGTCCTGCAACGCCCATGGGCTCCCTGTTGGACGCCCTAAATGTCAGGGCCGATGGAGTATTCAATTAAATGCTAAGACAGCCATTTGCCGTATGACGGAAATTGAAAAATCACGTTTTTATCGCTAGTTATCCTTGTCAAAGTTGATTTTCGCAAAACGAAAAAAAAGGAAAAAAAAAAAATACCGTATTATAACCGATTTGATCTTTATTTTTGTATTGAACTATGATTTTATTACCAAAATGTACTCAGCTATTACGATTGTCAATAAAGTTTTCCCAGAAATGTGCTTAAAAGTCAGATAAAATAAATGCAAACAATTTAATTTTTTAAACAATTGGAGAAACTTTTCAAGGTAAATATCGGTGACTAATTTATTGTCAGTATCTATTTTTTAAGTACACGGATATGGTAAATAGTTCTTATCTGCAATTACCAATCTGACGTATGTATTTTGTTACAAATAATGCAAAGCACACGTCAATAATAGTTTGCTAAACTACGAATCAAGTACGGTTGATTAGTCATCTTATTAGTGACTTAGGACTTTGAATATGAAATTATTTGCCAAAGCTAATAGTTTTAATCAAATGCATATAATTATTACGATATTAACCTGATTTTAGGATCAATATATATGCCTTTGGCTTTTCCTTTGTTCTTATTTTCAATGCAAAACTGGAGTACAAATTCAATGTCATCAAAACCATCAAATTATATTCAAAAGTAATTTTAATCCTTTTAATAGAACGATAAAATGAATGATTTAAAATATGATTTGCTTTTGATTTCGATTTAATGTTCCCTCGTTGTGTTTTTTTTTCATCCTAGATGGCTGTGTGTTTGCTAGTTGTTCAGCGGATGCAAAGCTGGACCGGCTGCGGCTGCAATTTCGGCGGCTGTGGGAGCATCATCCTTACTGCCCGTTTGGGATAAATGCTTGACTATGTCAACCCAATCCCAGCCACGTGCCCGGTCTCCCTTATGATCCGTTCGCTCCCATTGACGTCGCTTTTGCGCCTTGGTGAGGTGCTCCTTCTTGGGCTCCTTTTTCCCCGCCTCGGCATCGGGATCGGAAATCTTTAAAGCCACCACACCATCGTCCACGGCTTTAATGGTGGGTGCCGAATCGGGTTGTGCAGCGGTTAGTTGCTCCAGATTATCCTTGAGGCACTCGAATAAGGTGTAGGTCATGCCGCAGCCCAGCCATTGAGTGGCTTCCGTGTTCAGTGCGGCTTGGATCTCCTCCTTGACAGCGGGCAGTCTATCAGAAGATTATAGGCGGTGGGGAATTGTTATTAGAGAGAGGATACACAGACTCCCACGAGAACCTACAGATTCCTATTGTAGAATGTGTTCATATTTATCGTGGGTGGCTCGTCTGGATAGTTTTCGCCCCACTGTAGCTCGACCAGGAACGTCTTGTAGTTGTCCTCTTCGCCATACTGAAATAATTCGAGTATAATTATTATTAGTTCGCCTTGCTTAACATTTCGTCCATGTGGCGGCTCTTACCTTATACTGAAATGTGGTGCTGTTGACTTCCTTGAAGTTCGTATCGCCCTCGTAGATCGATTGTAACGCCTCCCGTTCGTCCGTCTGTTGCTCCAGAGGCGTGGACATTGTTAATTGCGTTAATATATTTTAATTTATCTAAGAAATCGCTCATTTTCTGGCAAAAATAACACAAAAATCATAAAATGGTTTTGCAACAAAAACAAAAGCAACAACGTATCAGCTGGAAACCGGCTGTCGAAGTACCGTATATTAGGCAGTCGCATTTTAACCTGTTTCAACTTGCAAGTCAGCGTTGACACTTAAACAATAGCATTTTTGTTGAATGTATTGAGACATATTTTAATTTTTCATTTTTTTTTTAAGTTGAAAAAATATTTAAGATCATTTAATATAAATATAAAATCATTAACTTTTTAATCACTGAATATAAATGTTGATACTAATGCAGAGTCAGGTGAGCAAAGTGTAAGCGCGTCTAGTGGAGACCACCTAAATTCACCTGCTTTCGTGAGAAGCCGATACTATCGAAGCACGTCAGTTCCCAGAACAACATAAAAGAATGCAAACAATAACAACATAAAACGCACAGAAAAAAACGGGCTAATGAATCATCATTGAGCAACAATTAACATTGAT